GTTTTTTTTATTCATTAATGTTGACAATAAAGCTGAGCAATGCTTTATATTTCTGCCTGAACTGAAAACATGTTTATTTGTTTGTAGAAAACATGTTAAAAAAACAAAACTGCATGCCTTACAGTGCACTGTTGCTGAAGTCCAAATTACTGATGCAGATATATTGAAAAATGTGAAACCTCTGGTTCTTGACATACTGCTGAGAAAATAAAGTAAAACATCTCTCTCTAAATAGCAATCGCAAATAAACATTATAAACCTTGTAAAAAAAGAAAAGATAAGAATAATAATAAATCAGTCAGAGAAAGAGACAGTCTATATTACTTTAGTGATGACCATTGTTTTCTCTTCGTACTGGCATTAAAAAAAAAAAAACATGATCTTGAAGCAATTATTCAAACAAGTTTGTTATCCTTAATTAATTACCAGATAAACAAGCAAAACACGTTTTTAAGAGTTTGGTTGAGAAAAAGCACAGTTTATCGCTGGTCATAATTATGTGTTGTCAGTACAAAATTTGAAATGAGATACAACAAAATGTAAATATGTACCTAATGTTCATTCAATCATTTCACAACATTCAAGTAAAATTGCACACAGTGCAAACCCTGGCTGAACAGAGGAGGTTGCATCTAAGAAACTGGGTGCTCCTTTATCACTATCACCTCCAGGGCAGTGCGACGTCAGTGAGACAGCGAGGTTGGGCTGGGCATTTCTCCAAACTGTGCCTCTGCCAAGACTGACAGCTCGGGTTCAGGCTGGAAAAAGAAGCAGATAATAAGTTAAAAGAAAATCCTGATTCTGCACTGTCAGATGTCTGAATGTGTACTTTAAAGATACCGCTCTACATTTTATTACTCATCTATATTTACAGAATTACCGCCATGCGAAGACACAGAACATGCTGAACAAACAATCAAAGCATTACTTTACTTGATCTTTATCTTTGTCTTGTCGTGGAATTCGATGTCTCCTCTTCTTTGGTCCAGTAGCATGATGCAAAGATGCAGACGATGCAGAACAGGACAAACCGTTGAGCTGGTCATCCTCGACTCCAGCCGCAGGATCTAAATGTGCTCCCGATTCTTCCTGGAACAAGACAGAGGGAATTATTCCAACAAGCATGAAAGGGGTTTGAGCATTTGTATTGATATATAATATATCAAACAAAAAGCAGACACAACTGCGAGATTACCTGTGATTGTGTTAAGGTGAACTAAATTAGAGTCCTGAATTATTAGCCAATCTCGTGGCCCTTTCGTAGAAGGGTCTTAAGTCAAAAACACAAATAAGCAGACCATACTTGGATGAGTAAATATAGGGCCCACAAGCAAATGTCTTTTATTATTATGAGGGTCCTCATATCAGGTTAATCCACACATGGTCAATTGTCAAAATTAAAGAGATTAAAATAACTTTATCAGGTCTGAATTAACTGATTTTATTTAGTGGAACCACTACTCTAGCAGTTAGGACTATTAGACAATACCAGACTAAATATGTAACTTTTTCTAGCTTTAGGTTGACCTACCTTACTGTCATTGTGTTAACTGGGCACAGTCAAATAAAGACGTAATGTTACTATTCTCATAGTTAAATTTTCCCTTTTATTAACACTACAGTACATTCTGCAGAGTACTGGGACTACTCATTGCTCAATAAAGGTCGACTCTCTTGCTCATACATGCATCAAAGTCTAAAGTGCAAAGCTGTATTATTGAAAACAAGTGGAAGCTCTTCAGTTAAAAAACTTTTTATGGAGCACAACAGAGACACACAAACTGTCACACCCTGAGAGCTCTGCTGTTGTTCATTGTAAAGCCAGTAGTATCATATTCACAGCAGTAAATAGGATCTGTATTCTGATAGTATGGCATGGATGGTAACGATGACAATGATTTAATCAGCTTCATGACCAGTTTTAAACAAAGGGCCTATATGTGTATACTGTTCTTCTTAAAATGTGTATCACACAGCTACTTTGTGACAGATTGTAAAACTTGTCAACCTAATTCTCACCTCTAGAAGTATTGTGAGTTGGGCGTTTCTGTAGTCATCTCCATGAGCATCTAAAGTCTTCATGAGAAACCTGCAAGGTAACATAATCCTAATTTAGTCATCAAGTGGGAAATATTTAAGAAGAATGTTAGAGTTAATGTAATGTGTTTTTTTTTTTTTACCGCCTCTCTTTCTTCATGCGCCGTGTAATTCTTTGTACTTGATGAAGACGACCAAGAATCTTCTGATTCACCTGAAAGAGACACATTTTTAAGAGGCTATGAGTACACTCTCATCGCTGGCTGATGTGAGCTTTGAATAGGATTATTTATATAAGTCTCGTATCTGAAGGTTTAATAATATAGATTGGATATATTTCTAGACAAATGTGCCATAAAAAACAGCTAGGGAAAGCAACAGAATAACAGAAAGCATCAGAATAAATAAAAACTAAATCGGAAATATAGCCTGCCCTGCTCTGCATTTACAGTCCTACAATGAAATCAGCTAGTATAGATAGAAATATTTCAGAAATCTGGGGTGCAGGATAGCCAATAGGGGTTATGTTGTGTGCATGTATGGTGGCGATAGTCCTCATAGCAGCGGACGTGGGTTCTAAATTTCGAGTCCGACCTCGTCACTTTGTAGCATGCCTTCCCTTACTCTCTCCCCCCGACATTTCCTTTCTCTTTTCAGCTGTCCTATCTTATAAAGGCCCTAAAAGATCCCTAAAATAACTTTAAAAATAAGAAATATTTCAGAAATCTGTTATTAAAAAAACAAACATTTAAGCACATACCTAGAACAGATGTTAGAAATCAGGAACTTAATGACAAATATATCACACAGTAAGCAATTGTTTACAAAAGTAGCACACATAAACATGCAACTGTAAACTTGCACGCACCTGTTCAATTTCTTTACATCTCCTGCTCAGTGCCAGATATTTACTCTTGTCAAGAGCTCTTTTCTCTTCATCCTCTTGTGCCGTACTCTCCAGCAGCTCATTGCTGCCTGGGCCCAGCTCCACCTGGAGGAAAAACACACCTCTATTTATTTCCTGTTTGACTGTCTGGGTCTATGACTCCATCAAAATCTGTTTGAACAAAAATAACATTTTCATTACAATTAAACAGAAGTGTTTAATATCATATTAACAACTTGTGACATAACTTCTACACAAAGCACTCTCAATTGAAACGTTTAAATGCATCAACCCGGTCAGGCGCATTCATTTGAAATCAAACAAATGATACTTGTGCGCTAATGAAATGGATAAGTGTTCAGTGAAGCAACCCCTCCTTTCACTTATTCCCAATTCCTGCTAACATGTCACATAACCTAGACCTTAATGGCCCAAATAATTTAACAGTGTAGATAGTTGGGCAGCAAGGCCAAGGCCTAACTAAACGAAACCACAGCAAGGCCAGGACAGTTGTTAAGTGGGCATCTCCCTTCACCGTGGTTTCGTTAAGTTAAGCCCAAGACATCTCAGCAAAGCTGCACAGTTAGCTCCAGTGTATTAGAGCCACTCCTTAATGCCAGCTCTCACCACCCACAATACCCCTCTCTAGCTTTCAGGCTTTGAGTCAGCCTCCATTTTCCTGATTGAATATTCATTAAAACACATTTAAATGGATCCCTATTCAAATAAAATGCATGTCCTGACTATGTCCCTCTCTTTTCTCTTCCTCCTCAGATGTTCTGCCCTGCAAAGTACTGCTAACATCTTAGCTCTTCTTCCAAAATGTCAGTTCTCTCTCTCTCTCTCTCTCTCTCTCATCTGTTCTCCTCTCCTTCGCTGAGTCCTCTATTTCTTTCTGCCAACTGGCTCTACATGGCTGAAATCTCTCCACCCTCTCTCTCTGTCATTTACTCCAAATCTTTCTGCACCATACACACAAGTAATGTCTCCCCTCTTCTCTAATGGATTTGCCCGTCACATCCTGTTCCTTTCAGCTTTTCTCACAGTATTATCAAGTCCCTGTAAACTGTCTCACATCATGTCCTTTTATACACTGAGATCTTTTACAGTAGCCGGGTTTTGCCCACTGTACTCCTCTCTGAATCCCTTGCTACCACACTCTCGCTGCTCTTCAGTGACAGATTAACTGATAGCATGTTAACTGTTTCAGCCGACTGACTGGACTGACTTCTCAAAGCGTACAGATCGATGTGGCAACCCTGCACTCCCTTTGCCAAACACTTCATCCTCCCCCGATGCGTTTTAAGGCCTTTAAATTATGTTCATTTCTGAAAGCCACAAGGACAAATCCGGAGCTCCCCCCCCCCTTTATCATTCAACCCCTGTCCTTTTAATGAATGCATCCATCTTACTCATAGAGCTACTGCTACCCTACCTAAACTCATAATAACAATAACATTACCATTAGCTCATAGACATTACCTCTCCTGGTCCCAGCTCCACACCACCAGGCTCCAGCTCTGCCTCCAGAATGTGTCCTCCAAAAAGAGGGGGCAGAGCCAATCCAGAGAAATCCTCCATCATCTTAAAAATGTAGAAAATTACTTCTTTACACACCTTAATTAAAATAGAATAAGTCCTTACAGTAGGTCTATACGAACCTACTGTGCCTTTCTGCTTCTACAAAACTAGATTTAAAAAACGGAGAAGGCTACTTTGCCGACTGTTTCTTTTTTTTTTACTGTGGTAGACTTTGATTAATATTAGTGACGTTTTATCCAGTTAATTGGAAAAGTTTGATAACTGGAATCGTATCATCAATGACAGTGGCATCCCATCTGAAACACTATTGATCTACGTAGGTAGCCTACTTACATTAATCAGAGATAGGTCCAAATAAACGGATTCTTTTTCAGCTTTTTTTTTTTTTAAATCTGCACTGCAAAGCGTTTCATAAAGCCTCTTATGTCCATTAGATATGAAATGTACTTCGTAGAGCCACAGCCTTGTAAATATCAAGTAGAGGTAGAGCGAAGCAAGAGCAGTTCCTGTTTCGCATTAATGTTTTTATGCGACGGTCGCAGAAAACAGGCGTCTGTTAAGTATTTACTACGTTTCCCATGAGCACCCGCACGATTAAAGACTACACAAGTCAACATGGCGGGTATGTTAACATTTTGTCATCTTTCGTACACCTATTCTGTTAAACGCGTTTAATGAGAAACCCAGGTAGTTCAAATGTACTCTTTAAACACTTATAATGTCGCTGACCAGGCCTCAGATTTGCTCTAATAAAATGGTATCCATTGGAAATTCAACAAAAAACGTGACCTTGGATGAGTTGCTAATGGTGGCTAATGTTAGCGTATCGTAGGTTGATTTTTTTTTTTACCTGTCCTGTTTGTTTTCCTACAGGAATAGGAGCTTTCCTGAAGAATGCTTGGAATAAGGAGCCCGTTATCGTGGCGTCTTGTGCTATTGGAGTGTTAGGTGAGTTTCACGCCGTCGCAATTTAAGCTCATAAATGTGAGAGCTGAACATTGTAAAACTTTGTCTTTCATATACCAACACAGGTGTTGTTATTCTATTGTTGCAAAGTCTAAAACTCGACATGTAAAAGAGAGAATGACCAATATCCCAATGTATGGCTTCCTTAAAATGTGCATTGTTGTGTATTTACTGTCCTTAAACAAGCTGAATTTAAGTCCCAAACATACGTGCCTTGCATGGAGACCGATTAATCAAACTCAGGGTGATAAAGTGGAAAAGTATCGAGACACTCCCCGTCATGAGATCGTACCTGAAAACATATCATTTGATTATTTTGGTAGCTATCTAAAGCTATCATATGTAACATGAGGGTGACTATCATAGGGATCAAAGCAGGTAAAAAGGGGAATGTCTTGATATGTATTTTCATGTTTGTGATATTATTTGTGACTTGATAGGCTGCCTGCTTCAAGTTGCTGCTCCACAATGCCCAAATGCTGTTTGTCAATACTCATTAATTTTTAAATAAGTACATTTGGGCGTCTGTGGCTCAGTTGGTAGAGTCGTCACCTCTCAACCGGAAGATCGAGGGCTCGATCCCCAGCATGTCCGATGTAAGCTTGGGCAAGACACTTAACCCCGCATTGCTCCCGCTGCTTCGGTGGCGGTGTATGAATGGATTAGTGTTGTACTTACTCTCTGATGTACGTCGCTTTGGATAAAAGCGTCTGCTAAGTGAATTTTAACATTGTAACATTTAAAGGTGCACTACGTAGATTTGGTAATGACATCTGAAAGTTGGAGAAGTGAAACAATTTTATGCTATATTTTCCGAACCGAAAACACAAACTTTACTCAAAGAAAGTATGGGTCCCTGGAACACTGTTTGTAGCTTAAAAGCTACCAGGAGAGTTACAGATTCACTGTTGCGGGCCCTCCACCGTTACTTCTCGCCTATCATTTTATCTTCAAACAGTGTTCCAAGGACCAAATTTTCCTCTGAGGACACTTTGTGTATAGAGTTATGAACATTTACAACAGAATCTGTAAATTTCTCCAACTTTCACATTTCTCTACTAAAACTCCATAGTGCACCTTTAATATCAGGACTAAAGCAGTTCACTTCACAAGCTCAGTTGGGTGTCTCCCTCTTTCTGTGGTCTCTGTGAATTGTAAGGATAACTGGTGTGGCTGTTATAAAGTGTTATTAATATGTTATATGTTAATACATTTTTCTGTCGTCAGGCATTGCTGTACCGCTCCTCAGCCCCATCACAAAATATACAGGAATGATCAATTCAGCTGTGCCATACAACTACCCAGGTAAACACTGCTGCTCATCATTTCAAGAAGATTGTGCTACAGTGCTGATGATGATAGATGCAAAACAATACCCACACATGTGAAACAGCTCTGTGAACCCCTGAACTGTTTGATAAAATATTTAAGCTTCCTTTCCTTACTTTCCCAATGCAGTCCCAGTGCGAGATGACGGAAACATGCCCGATGTTCCCGACCATCCATGTGATCCGAAAGGAAACAACCTTGAATGGCTTAAAAACCTGTAACTTCACAAATCAACCTATCAGCACTTGCGCTGTTCGTCTTGTTCATATGTGTCTGCATAAGTGCTCAGTGTGTCCTGAAATAAAGAGTCTCTATTTAATTCAACTTTTGTGTAACATTGTTTGATTGTGAGACATACATTGCTATTTAAATCTTTTTTTGTACATCACAGGTTTAAGTGCCTAAGCTGAACCAGTTTTTAGTCCAGAACTTCTAGCAAGACCGTGTTTTGGGATTTGCTCTAAAAAGTCTGCTTACATTGTCTGAGAAGAAAAAAACATTTAGAACAGTTGATAAAATGTGCATATTCACTACTATTTGACCCACTTGTGTGGTTGCACTTGAAGCTTAAACAAAATCAGTGTCACATGTATGTTAAAGTAAGCCTTAAATTAGCTTTAATGAATGTTATAAAGACATTTTCATTTACTCTTCATTTCCAGGTTGGTAGACTTAGACTAAAAATCTTAATGAGGTGTTAAGACTCGAGAGCTTTGAAACTAAGCTTCAACACAACCCTGATCGTTCAAAAGAGGCTTATGACAAAGCTGGACTGAATTCTTTGTTCCATAGCAGCATTATGTTGCTTGCATGAGTAACAGGGGTAACAGAGCAAAACAAAATAAAGAGCTGTACAGCATGGAAGCCCTTAAAAATTAAGGATGTATGTAATACTGGCCCCACAAAAAATTGACATTTAAAACATCAAAGCTACCTACAATAATGGAAAAAAACTCTTGTAAGAACTACAACTCTGGGGAATGTTTCCTTAGAACTTTATTTCACATTACACAAATGTTCAGTGTTTGAGGTGAAGAATGTCTCCAGCAGTTTTCATCATCATAATAAAATACCTTCTAAAGTCACCAGGATCTCATGCTGATGTAACTCAGAACAGATCGACAGTCCATCAGTCCATTTTTTTAACAGACCTGTGGAACTGTGTATAATGTGTGTGCAATATAGTAACAATATTTTACTTCGGAAGAGGAAATTCGGACTTTGGATATGCTCCTTTTTTACGTAGCAGTTCTCCCACAACCAATCAATTACAAAAATACTTGTGTACATTTTGAGCCTTCATCTACATACCATATTCTGAATACTAGCTATTAATTTGCTTTTTCATTTTTGCCATGTATTTCTTGTTGCTATGTATATTCGACATCTTTAGTTTTAATGAAAGTGTCATGTACTTCTGTACAAATTCTTTTGTACAAAATATTTCCCAGTAATCCCAGAGTATTTTTTTTCTATACACATGTACATGTATATGTAAGTATATTTATGTAAGTGGTTTTCACATCTCATAGCTGTTTGTGCCTCCCAGTATTCGAAGTTAACAAAGTTCAAGCGTTCTTCCAAAGTGAAATACTATTACTAAAAAGAAGTTAAATAAAAGTCATAAATTCACAGATGTTTTAAGCCCTATTTACAAGCAGGACTAAGCATTAGCTCTATCAGTTTGCTAGCCTTCAGCTTTATTAATAATGCCATACTACTCAAAGGTATATAAACGCTGTTAGAAATGATTCTCTACAACCCTCTGGGCGATATCTAAAATCTTTAAGGTGCTAAAAGATCACAGAAGCTCAAAGTAATTACAACAAGAACATAAACCATTTCAGTTTGCACAGATACAAAGTTTCACCTTAAAATGACAGTCCCCTAGAGCTACAGGATATTACTTGGGATAACTCTAGTTTACCATTAACACCTGCTCAGACGCCGGTCAACTTCCCAGTATGCTTTCATCATCACTTTCATTAAAACATTTCCCAAATGAAAATAAATCCTGTTGTCTGTCTCGGCTTTCACGTCTTTCAGATTCTACTCACTTTGATTGGTAAACACTCGACTAGCCTATATGTTGTCTCGCTTTAGATCTGGGACTGAAAAGGAATCAAGACGACATCAAATCCAAAGACTAATCAGGAAAATCTCTCACTCTTTTTACTTTAACCCTCCACAACATGCAACTTTCTGAAATAAACACTTCTTCAATAATACCATAATCTCAACATTCAGCTATTCTTTGCTACAGTTGTTTTCTGTAGCGCTCAGAAACTTTCTGTAGAACTTCCTCTGTCTTAAAACTATCTATCTGAGAACCTACGAATCTCATTAATCGAATGTTTGATACATCACATTTAAAGAAATACTTTTTTTCAGAATGATTTTTTTTAGGCCAAGTGAAGGGCTAAATAATTCAATAGTTAAAGTAACTTTAAGTTACTTTTAATTATAAGTAACTTTGCAGCAGCAGAATGTGTCGTGGTAACTTGAAGTAACTTATAAGATATAACCAACAGGTACTCCATCACTTGAACAGCTCTGCCCATCGTCAGTGATGCTTCAGTAGAAATGACCAAAATAATAAACATGGCTAATTTCATTGAAATACAGAAAAGCATCTCAACCAAAACGACCACATTTTGAATTAGAAAAGACAATTCAAAACCTTAAATTCATTAAAACCAAGAAAATGCAACAATCTGGCAGCATTTCTAACATCTAAAAATATAATATTGTAATAGCACTTTTAGAATAGGAGCCTGTCCTTGTCCTGTAACACTTTGTTACAGTGAAAGTTCACAACCTGCTATTAGGAGCCAGTCCCTAGATCAACCAAACACAGGAACACTTCAAAATATGGCACAAAACAACCAAAAACTAAATTAAAGGTAGTTTTGAGAAAGAAATTGCAAAGTAAAAGAAGTCAGATGCATATTTCATAAGCAATGAAAAACCTAAAAATGTTAGCTATTCTTGATGAGTTAAGGAGATCTCAAACACTCAGGTAAGTACAGACAAAAACTTCTGTCATAAACTAGTCTATATTTATCATACTCATATTCTCTCAGGTGTTTTCAGATGTTAAAGAGGTTCTGATTCTATTTTCATTTTAACTACTCCAAACTTAAATGGACTGAAATCAAATTTAAAACAGATCTCTACAATTACACCTTTTATAATTTGATTTAACATTTTATCAAGAAACATAATCTTTATTTGATTATTTAAAAAAAAAAAAAACATCAAAAAACTCATCATGACCGCGTGGGTTGTTTCCAGGAATCAACCTGAGGTTTGAAGACCTGACAAACCACAGAACGCAAGATTGCTGCTGTTTGAATACAATTTTTACTCGATGATGGGAGCCGAGCGATCGTTGGTGACAGTTTTTCTGAGTCGGATGTGAGCAAACGGGTTGACCCTGTAGGCAGGAAAAATAAAATAAACATTACATAAAATGGGCACTCCAGAGGGTTTAATCATAAATGCTGTAATGGGAATAAAAGAATCAAGTGAAAAAAAAACAGGAGTTGTAGTTGGTGCTAGCTGCTCTGTCATGAACTTAAAGCTACCGTCAGCATGCTAATATGATCACAATGGCAACGCTAACATGCTTATGTTAAGAACTTTTGATTATTCACGTGTTCACCATAATAGTTCAGCGTGTTAGCATGGTAAGATTTCCTATGTAAAATACTGAGAACAGCTGAGTGTGCATTAATAATAATGTTAGATTAGGAGTCCAGCGTAGATAATATTTCATTTAATTATCAATGGACCGTGAATACAGTAACAAACGTCATGGCCACCCATTTAATTCATTATTTTATTGAATTTTTTAAAAGTTAAAACAACTGACTTATACCAGTTGGCTGCCGTCAGACAACAGCTAATGTTAGCATCCAGCCAGTTCCTAGCTTACATTACTGTTAGCCAGAAAGAGGCTGATGACTCTACCTTTTTAAAAGACATGTCTAGGAAAGAGAAAGACTTAATATTTTAAAAGCAGATTAACAGACAGCCCTCAACTACCTTCAGAAAAACAGTTTATTTAAGAATTCAACCACCTCTTTGTTGAGATAACACTTTGCTAGCGTTTTCTATCGTATCCTTCCCATTGTAGGGACGGCCATGGCTCAGTGGTAGAGTTGGTCTGACTCAACGTGTCGAATGGAGACTCTGGTCTGTCCCAGCTCATGCAGTCACATGTCAAAGTGTCACACTGTACCCTGGATTGCTCCCGCTGCTAAGCCGGCGCCGTGTGAATGTAGTCGTACTATTGGACAGTTAGGCACTTTATGAAGCAGCCTCTGCCATCAGTGTGTGAATGAGTGAATGTGACAAGAAGTGTAAAACTTATAGAAAAGTGTTACATAAATCCAATTCTATTCCCATTTATCCTTTAAAACTTTCGAAAGCTAACAGCAACTCTGTAGCTAAACGTAATATTAGCAAATGAGTACTAAGAGCAGGTGTTGTCTGATGGTAGCTCGCAGAAATCAGTACTTATGACATATGGCCAAATGTCTCTGCAAATTTTCACTTTTACTTGTTTTTCAGCTTATAATCATTAAAATGTCTGTCAGATTTCCTGTTTGATTTTTTTTTTTTGTCAGCTTTGTCAACAACCTGAAGCAACATCTCATCAACAATATAACAGTAGATTCCCATCCTAAGTCTGATTTCAGATGATTATATCCACATTGTGAGTATGTTTAATTCCTGAAGAGAATCTTGTGGCAACCCATAGAACAGAGTAGTAGACCTAGCTAGCTTGACTTAAAAAGAAATCAAGTCAAAAATGATAGTGAAGGAGCCACACATGGCCTTGTTGTCAAGATCAGGCTCCATGTACAGAGGCGGTAGTCCTCCAAGCGGTATAGGCTTGGGTTCAAGTCTGACCTGCAGCTCCTTTCCTGCATGGAATTTCCTCTCTCATCAACCCTAACCCTCATCAAATAAAGGCAAAAAGCCCAAATATAAATCTTTAAAATAATATATGGTTAGCACCAAATGCATCTTAAGATATCTCCTTCTAAGTTGGTAAACAAATCTAAACTATCCCATCAACCAAAGATCACTGAAGAGATTAGAAATGTGACAAATACAGAGACAATAGGTAAAATAAAATGTGTGTAATTAAGACACTAATAGCTAATTTGCATAGCTAATTTTACCTGGTAGGGGATGGTGGTGGGGAGGCAAATGCTGAAGTAATCTGAAATGTAAAGAAGAGCACTATTACATTTCAAATCATCTGTTTCTCCTCCATTAATATCTAGATGTATCAGCAAGATGAATTCATATCAGAAAATCTTCCTTCTGACCCTGTTGCTGTCGGCCATGCTGTACGGGCGCGGGCGGAAGGTGCTGACCCTCTGGGGAGGAAGAGACCGCTCCTCCTCTGACTCTGGTGTGAGGGCTGCAGGACCCTGAGACCCAAGCTTGTCGAGCTGGCCCGTACTGTTGCTGTTAGCCTTGGAGAGGAAGAGGGAGCTAAAAGGAAGATCACGAACAGACGGGGAAAGGGGATAGAGGAAAAAATAGAAAGGAAACATGATGATTTGGGAGCATTGTTTTATCAACAAAAGTGGGTCACATACTGCTGTTTATGAGCTCAATTTCACTCTCTGTGCTTCTGGCATGATACAAGTTTTAATACTGAGACGAACATTGTCACATTTATATCAACTTGAAAATGACCTTTCTCTTTGATTCAACCAATGCTATTACTTCCTACAATATAAGGTCTGCTGATCTACTTAGTTTTAAAACAGCTAAAATTATAAGAATGGAATGTTTCTTTTATAAACAGTTTATCTACCGCTTTAAGAGGACAACAGTTATTTCTCCCTTGACTTACCTCTCGAGGTGATCCATCGCATTGTGCTGTGGCTGAGTGTAGGAAAAAGGGAACCAGCCTTTCCTGTCAAAGAAAATTTCACTTTAAGTAACCTCAGCAAGACATTCAACTGAGTTCTTCAAGCAGCAAACGAGTGTGTATCATCTACATTGTTCTCACAGTAATCTACAAAAGAAAAAGAGGATGAAGGGAAGTGCTTTCTGTCGGACGTTTTGGTTATTGTGACGCCTTAACATGATCATGTCCTCGTCTAATAGCATTGAGATTATTCAGTCTGTGCATACTAACAATGTTAAACCTAATAAACTCTGTCTAGTCACCAGCCAGTCATTCAATGCATCTCTCTTTTATACACATCAGAAAATTCTCCTCAGTGTGTGATCTGTAAAACATACCGTCCAGTTCGTTCATTTTGACCGTAGTGCCATCCGTCTCTGGCCTCAGATATGAGCAGGGTGATGCTGTCACCCTGCTGGAAGTGCAGCAAGCAAGCTCCGCCAACGCCGCCACCACCACCACCACCACCACCACTGCCTCTGACTCCCCAGGGGAGTGGGCAAACAAGGCTTCAACACGTGTAGGACCAGATAAAGGCATAATCCTAGGGAGACTGGAGCCTAGGTAGAGGAGAAAAAAAGAACGTCATAATCCTATTTTTATCTTCATAAATCAAAGTCTCAATAATTATGCTATTTTTCCTTGGAATGTTTTTTAATCAAAAGCCTTTAGATTATTTTTATACTGAGTGTCTCCATACATAGAAGTCTCATTGTTTACTTCAGTAGCCACCAGTCTCAGGTTTCATTAGCATTGAAAGCCTACAGACGAGGGATTCTGAATGATGGATGTTATTGTTTAGTGATTACTTTTAACAGCTGTACTAGCACTATATTAACTTACTGCTAATGCAAACACATCATTTCCTACAGCTGCTGCTTAACAATAACAGCTCTTTCCGTTCGCGGACTACCTGTTAACAGTTCAGGATGAAATGGGGAAAGGATCGCCCAGAGTGTGCTGTTTCATGAAGAGCTGCAGCTGGAGGTCAAGAGCTTACTAGTCACCACGGTAACCAACTTTTTAAACTAGCTCTGCTCTGCTGCAGTTACTCAAAGGCACCTATGTGTCTAAAGCATGACATCAGAGTATGAATTCAATTATTTTTGATAGAATTCTTTATTACATTTTGTAGCTCGCTTGGCTGCACTGTGGACTGATTCACCAGTTTAATGTTGGCCACACATTAGTTGTAACCACATGTGACCATATTATCCATAAAACAGGAGAAACTAAAATCTTAACAAATGTATTACTGACTATATATAATTGTAGACATTCAAATATAGGGAGAAGATTTCTCCATTCTTACCCTGAAAGCCTCCGAGCCTCATTTCACTGTTGGGTTTCCTCGGCAGTGGCAGTGTTGCTGTTGCACTCATGTCAGAAGTCTTCATCCAGGGAATGTGTGACGGTGATGAAGTGTTGCTCCCTCCTGGTCCCACCTGTTGGTGCAGGAGCTGCACAGGAGTCATGGCCCTGGAAAGAGGAGCACTGTGGGGCAGTGGAGGACTGTGAGGAGCACTGTGGGTGATGGGGAGGGTCATGCCATGCAAGGAGCCGCTGGTCGGGGAAATCTGGCTAAGTGACATCACAGTGGATGGGATGAGGCTCGGGGAGAGGTTGGTGGTGTTGGTGGTCATTAGTTGGGGGCCTTGCTGGCCAGAGCTGCTGGACGGGGTGGGAGTGGATGCAGCTGGGCTGGGGCTGCCGCTGCTTTCAGGGAGGAGGCTGGCTGATGTATCGAGGGGAGTGCTGCTGTGCTGAGGAGACGCTCCCTGTGATGAACCTCCGGCTGCTCCCCCAGAGGAGAAGGAGCAGAAAGTCTGAGGGGAGCCCTGAGGTGGACAGGTTTCACTCTGAGAGGAGGAAGGAAGCTGGCGTTGCTGCTGGGAGCGACTGGAGTCTCCATTCAACATAGTCGGGATCTCTAGCAGAGAGAGCCTCTGAAAAAAAAAAACAAGGACTGTTAACCACCAAAAAATACAAGCTACTGATGAAACTTTGACCGAAACACCAGAGACTGGTGACTTTACTTTACTTCAGCTCTTTGACTTGGAAGGACTTCATATACCTCTTAACATGGTCACATAAGCATTTACAGCAGGCTTTCCCAACCTTTCGGTCATGACCCCACGTGGGGTCACATAAAATTTTGATTTACTGATCAATAACAAATATATTGTATATTGAAATATATTGAACACACGCTACTGTGGGCCATAGCCAAAACAAGAAACTTGTCATCCATTGTGCAGAAATGTTATCCCGGCATTTCTTCTTTTGAAGAAATGCCGGGATAACATACGGAATAACATACGGAATATTTTGATTGAAAAGAAAATAATTTTAGCAGAAAGCTGTTTGTGTTTTTGTGTTGGGTCATGAGCCAAAACAGGTTGAGAACCACTGATTTACAGACTACGCATCCAATGGTTTATACACCTGAATGTTCTTTTAAAAATCCATAAACTATCACTCATGTATTAACATACTTAATATGTACTTAATAAACAAAATGCATGTCTGGGTTTATCCAGGGAAGTCTTGATAGCGTTTTAAAATAACAACTGGCAACATGATCATTCTGGGAAATCCAACAAAAAGGAGGCCCAGATTTGGAGCTTAAACTTCTAAAAATGATCAACTCAACTCAAACCAAAGTAAACACCTGAACACATAAAAACAACAATAATCTGACCTGTTCAGGCTGAGCAGAGCCTAGCTTGGTGTGGCGGAGTACCTCGGCTATCCCAGCAGCACCTGAGCTTTGAGGCGCAGTGTGGCGCAGCAGATTCAGAGCTCGCTCTGGTAGTCTTGTGGGCTGAGAACAGGACAGCTGCCATGATGACAGTTTCTGCGACAGAAGCTCTCTCACCTGGATTGAAAGAAGGTACAGCATTGAGTAAACCACAACAGTGTTAAAGGATGAGGCCGGATTTATTCAATGCTTTTGCTTTTTTCAAATAACCTTAAAAAGAAAAAAAAAAAATGTCAATGCACTGGTTCAATTTTCAACTTCCCTATCCTGCCCTTGGCTCTCAAGCCAAACCCATCCATTCCTACAAAAGATGTTTCTCTGTAACATGGATCCCAAATGTATTACTTCTTTTTTGTATTAAAAAGTCCACATACTTCTTAAAACAGCTGGGCACATAAGTGTTCAACACGTTTAATAGAAACAGAAGGACAAAATTGGGTTATATTTTCCATTTCAGCAGAGGAACACATGAAGTGAATATTTAGAAGTTCAAACTGAGATTAAAAGAACACAAACAACAGAGTCTCTGTTCATATAGTAAGGATCATGTCCACCAGTGCAACATTGAGGCTCATAATGTGTTTCTAGAAAACAATGAAGATCTCCTGCACAGAGGAATTAGCTTTTTCAGAGTGTGATTGCACATACGTTTTTGTAGGATTAACTGTTATTTGGGTTTATATTGCCAACATTTACCACATGAGAGCTAAAACGACGACAAATTACAAATAAGAAAATGTGAGCCCATTACCTTGGAGTGGTAGCTGATAAGCAGTTTGGTTACACAACACTGTCTGTCGACCAGGAAGCAGTATCGTCTCCTTTCTTCAGTGAGCGCAGACTTGTAACCCGTGGCAACCATCGCATCCAGCTCACCTTGACGACGACTCATCAACTCCACAAACTGTGGAAAAAGTCAGGGAAAATCTTGGATCCAAATCGTATGCACTCAAGACAGGGTGGCCTTCAATGCTCTTTGTAAGAGTGAATAACACAAGGTCACAAAACCTCTAATGCCCACGTGAACTTTTCCTCTCACAAAACCCGCAAGCTCAATCTCAATTCTCATTTTCACTTTCCAAAGTGGCTAAATCAGTTCATCCTCTTATGTCATTCCTATTTCCTCCAGGAATATGTTTGCCCACTAAGTTGCTTGTTTTCTGAAAATCAGCTGAGGCAGATTGTTCTTTAATCTTATTCACACCAGCCTATTTCTTACACAAATGCTCACATAACCTCCGTTTTTAATCTTCTATAATGCCGAGTTAGATGATCCATTTGTTTGGAGGATTTCTGTTTCTCAAAATATAAATGATCTGACTAACTTAAGCTTACGAGTTTTCATATTTCATTTCCTCCTCGTTCATTTACGCATGTTCGTTTTTCATCGCTGGGTTTGAACTCACCTGCATCTCTCGGTCTCCATATTTGTTTGGGTGTCGACTGCCCTGGCTCTTCCTGCGGAGCTTCTTCAGCTGGGACTGGCAGCGCTCGATAGACTCAGACTTAGACCTCCGCTCACTCTGATACTTCTTCAGGGTGGCCTTGTGGGAAATTTTTGTTTTTTTTAATGACATCGAGCAATATAATGGAAGATGTAGTGCTGTTGTGCTTAATATCAGCAATGCTGTTTTTTTTTTTTTCGGTCAGTGACACAACACTGCACCCATGCTGATATTCAGCACAACAGCACAACCTTGAGTGTGATATAGCTTTAATTAGTCAGTCATAAACAATATTTTTTTTAAACTTAATTTGGCTCCACAAACACAGCTAGTTCAGGAACACAAACACTGTCCAGAACACTTCCTACATTTTGTGAATCTACATTTAAATTCATACTTGATTCATTGATGAAGTGCAAAGTTTGCTAAGATCTACACAATGGACATTTGCTGTAATGTCAATACAAAGTACGCAGAACACCTGAAGTGAAGTAATACATTCATTTTAAAGTCCCAGTGCTGTTGCACATTTATATCTACGTCAGCGCTCCTGGAATGCTAACTAACTAACATGGTCAGAACTTAGTGTTTTATAATACCTTTTAAATGAAACTAGGTTTATTGAGTTTATATCTATTGTATCGCTTGTATGTGACTGTTTAAATTAAATTTTCACAGTTTTAATCATTACAATGAATCACATTTTACACATTCTTCTGGTTTGCATCATAATTTATATAATAATTCAAATAACTCCGCCTCACACAGTCTTTTCTTCTGGTCAATTGAATTAAAAAGCAGTGGTGGATCAACATAAACTTACTGTGAGGTATTTAATATCCAGTTCCAGCTTCTGCTCCAACTGGGCAAGCAGTTCAGAGTGAAACAACTTCAACTGTTGATTAAAAACAACAATCAAGACTTAGCAATTAGACCAACGTATGCCGACACTGCAACATTAACATGATAGTGGACTGTACTAAGGAAAACTTGCAACATCACAGGTTGCAATAATATAATAGAAAATTGCACTCTTTCTGATCACTTCAATACCATTATATCATTTGCACAGAGCATCTAAGCGCAGTCTTACCACATCTTCCAGCTGCACCTGAATCTGTCTGTGCACCTCGGCCATCTGAAACAATGTGTCTCCTGTGTAGAAATGTTATAAATGATATAGATATAAGAAGTAATCAGTTGCTTTTATTCAAATCTTGTGTTCTTATCTTGACCATTATGAACAGCAATCGACATCCACTTCCATACAAACAACACACAAGCAGTAATGTCTTTAAACTTTTCTGTTTTCACACAGTTTCTCATTTACAAAGCGGCAGTCAGCTGTGAGTGCCTCCCTCGGTCACACAGCGCTGTAGTATGTGGTGGCTGGCATCTCGCCCTCCGACTCTCCTGCCTGCCTCCCCCGCTGTTTTCAGCATTACAATGAGATCATGTGGTGTTGTTAATCTCCCAACAATGACCCTACTCTCTCCATTTCCCTCTGTTTTCTCTCCCTCTCTCTGTCTCTACATTTCCTTCTCCCCTCTCGTCTTCCTCTGCTCCCTCACTAACACATAAGCAGACTGTTTTCATCCTCTCCTGCAGCTGTCAAGTCCACTCTCTTCACTTTATTAGGTGCCATTGCAGATTTATTCTTAATTTCTCCCTCACTTCCCTCACTCACCCAGCTCTTTGGAGCCTTGGCTGTCACTTGCCAGTTCTCCCAGTTTCACCAGAGCATCAAAGTACCCCTTGGCAGCCACAGTTACTCCTGAAAGAGAGTTCATGTTAGGGGACGTATACCTTTAAAGTGATTGTGTAACGTAACATATAACCCTGCTAAGAGGAGAAAAAAATGAAAGGCCTGTGTTTGGCTAACCTGTCAGGGCTCTCTCATAGTGTTTCCCCATAGTCACAAAGTTCTTCAGACTGGGATTAAACTGGTCCAGAATCCCCTGTTGGCAACAATAAGAGGACATTTTTAATCATTTCACAAAACAATGAATGGTGTAAGATTTTGGTCGCGATGAAAATATCTCCCAAATCTCTCATACTGTGATGGGGCTCACTGCCAGGGCGCTTTAGAGTCTTACCTTGTAGACATTTTCCGTCATCTTGTTAACTTCTTCTGTTCGAGACATTTTGCTTCTCTTGGGTAGGACCGACCTCTTTGTGTGTTTGTGTTGTTTTTTCCTTTTGATGGTCAGGGCGCTACTCTTGACAGCGAACAGAAATCCACTAAAAGAGAAACAACGTAACAACGTTTTCACAATGACTCTTGACGGAAAAAAAAGCACAAACTGATGTTTCAAGCGTCACCTTCACTTTGGACTGCAAAGGTCAAAGCACTTATGGTGTGATTTTTTTTTTTTTTCTTTATGATTTTTTGGAAGGAAATTTCAGCGCTATCTGAAAGTTCAGCACTGAAAGGACAGACAGGAAACAGAGGGGAAGACCAAAAGCAACGAGGGTAACAAAAGGTGCTCTTATTTATTTGTTTTTAATTTCACCTGGGCTGAAACTATTCTCATTAATAAAATGAAAACACAAGTATTTTGATGATCGAGAACACCGAACATTCACTTTTTCCTTGCATCTTGCGTCAGAATTTGCTGCTTTTCCTGATGCAGACACTTCATAGAACATATTTTGGTTTTGGACTGACTGCCCGACAAGACAAGGAACTACAAGATGCCACCTTGTGCCCTGATGAGTAATAATTGAAATGTAATGATTTCCTGTTATTTAAAGACAAAACCTTTATGTGATTAATCAGGACATGACAAAACTGTAAGGTTATGTCCTTGGTCCATGTGCAGAAAAACCCCCAAAACAACTGTCCTGTAAAATAATAATAATCTAAGCAATGTAAATTACTGGAATCGTGTCTGTCTTTTTTAAAGCACTGTGAGCTGACATCTGTTGAGTAACATCAGCCCACTTTGAGGCACTAAAAGTGTGAGATTACCATAAACACTTAAGGTTTAGGACTTTTAAGGCCATTCAACAAGTGCTGAGGATGTCAGAGCTGCCTTGGGTTTTGTCTGAGGGCAGCACTGTTATTTTCTCACGACTCTACCCCCTGACTAAGCCTGCCAGTTTCTACATTATCGCCTCACAACATTACGGCAACCCAAATATTTCTCCAAGATTGGAGTGCCAGAAGAGTTATACCATTTCAGATAAGAACAATGGTCTCCTCGAGAGTGAGACGCAGGTGTCAAAGTGCTGAATAAACACGCGACGAGGATGTTTCCTCAGCAGAGGGGACGATCAAGGGGGGACTGATCTGGGGTCAAAGGATTTCCAGTCGCGGATTTGATAGCAAAATCCTCATTCCCTGTTTTCCCACTGTAGCCCTCCTTTGTTATCACAGCAAGATTACAGAGAAAACGGTGACCCAGATCAACTAATGGTATATGACACAAAGAAAACATTTCCAGGCTCTTGCTCATTAGGGCCACCCTGGTGTAGTCTGTTATCTGACTGAGAAACACTCTGCTGTTCTGCAGATACTTTTTTTTAATTTGAAAAGCTTTACATCGATGCACATTGTTCAGAGGACAGAGTACAAAACCTAATATGAATAAAGCATGTATGTTTACTTTCTCAGTTTGGTGTTGTTTTAATTCAGAATCATTGAATACAGTGATAAAGTGCTGTTTGTTTCAGGATGCAACAGGAACAGTCTGCAGGTGGTTGGGGATACAGAAGGTGCATTCATGTGGTTTGGCCTCTTAAAATGTCTTCAAATAGTTTGGTTAAAACCAACAAATGTCACTAGGGCAGCTTAGAATAGTTTTTCTAAATAATCTTCAACTCATTTGAATGTAGCTTACTTTTTTTGATTTGCCTTTTTAGGCAACAATAAATCCAAATTCTGCTTTGCTCTCCTGATAGGAGTCATAGATGTCCTCTCTATTCAAATGATGAATACGTTTTTGTGTTTTGGACCAATTTACCATTTTCGGACATTTCCCATTTGCAGTCTTAATGTCACTGCAGCGTTTTTAATCCCTCAAAAAAAAACCTGGCAAGTGAGGCACCAAAGAGAAACTGAAGCTCGGAAGATTCATATAAGACTTCTAATTAAAATGATTTTGTCTTGTGTCATGCATTCACTCCCCACATTAATCTAAAGATCAATTAATGGTGTAACATTACAGTTGAACAGTACTTCACCGCCAAATGAGCTTTTCTTCCACAACATCATCTAATTTGAAAAAATACTTTTGCGTGACTGAGGGCAAAAAATAATTGAGAAGAAAGGATGAGTATAAACTTTCTGTGAATAGAGACATGAATAAGTTGCAGAGTGAATGTTTCCCTGAGTGTTAAAATGGAAACAGCCTTTTGCCCACTCAGTACAGTTCACAGTTTAACAGCTACCTGTTGAGCTCCATTAAAAAAAAAAAAAAAATCTGCAACAAGAAATTCAGCTACTTTCTATAAAAAAAAAGTTACATACCTTTTCAGATGTCATTGTGGGGAGCGATAAAGGCTTCCTGCTTCTTTGAGTGTTAAATGAAGAGTACAACACCCCCTCCTTTCTTCCTATTAGGCTACTCTCCCTCTCCGTTAGTTAGTGGGGGGTTGTCTCATCCAGCAGAGCACTAAATCTCAGCTCCCCTCCACCCCTTTTTCACATGGCCCTCTCTCTCTCTCTCTTCTTTTTTTCTCCCCCCTCTCTCTCTCTTTCACACACACACTTCCTCCCTCTTTCTGCCTCGCTTTACTCCCAGGAATCGGGGTCAGATATTTGGTGCCGTTCAGTACCTCTCCACATTACTGAGCCGATTACCAACATGCCTTCACGCCCGCAGGAAAAACCGACCACCGACTACAGCCCCCGCCCTGAACGAGCAGCTCCCAGAGCAGTCAGCCTCGCGCTCAGTGTCCGCCTCCCTCTGCCTCTCTCTCTGTCACTCGGGCAGAATAACAATGAGCCAACGGGACCCCGTCTGAATAGAAGCAGGAGGAGAATAATGACTTGAACTTTTTAAGCCACAGCACAGGCAAAGGCCTATCACTGGCCTACATACACCCGGATCATCACCATGTCCCTACTCCCCATTCTCAGAGGGGGGGACAGGAGAGGAGGAGGCCCTGCAGGAGCCATCTTCATTAACTGATATAAATACTTTCATTTACTGCAGATTATGTGTTTTATTAATGGCAGACATAAAGGTGATTGGGGGATAAATTGGTAGGGAAAGTCCATTTGTTGTTTTTTACAGTCTGGAAAGCAAAAAAAAAACTTAAGTAAGTAATCCAGTACAATTTAAAGTACTTTTACTTGTACTCAATGATGACTTTCCATTCTACAAAATATTTTACTACACTTCATGTGTTTGAAAGTTACAGCTCCAACTTTGCATATCCAGGTAATAGAAATTATAAATCCAATAATATAATCAATTTAACTATTGTTATGGGTTAAATTGACCAGCGGTACATAAAAAATTACACCCCCTTTGTAGCTGCAACATTAAACACATGAACACATTTAAAATGATTAACCAATACTGGCTACAATATTTTTAACGTTTGTTCTTCTTAGTTATACTTTGAACTTTAAGTATTATTTCTAACTTTTCTGGGGATTAATTTGTGATGGGAAGTTTTGCAATTTCGTATCATTACTTTTCGGTGAAATATATATAAATACTTGCCATTTGTTGTTGCCACGTTTATTACACAGTGGTGGATAGTTGCTGTCGTAAATTAACTGAAGCTCAAGTGTGAAGTACTTTATCAAGACTGTCAACAAGGTTTTAGAGGTCATGAAGGCAGCACATCCTCCAAAAAATATTTGACTGGAAAACTCAAGTTCTCTTTTATTAATAACCCTGTGTGTCATATTATTATTATTATTATTATTATTATTATTATTATTATTATTACATTATGTTTCAGAGACTGAATAAGCTTAAGATGCAAAGTTAATTAATAGTAGAAATACTTAAGTGTCCAATTCATTCCGCTGCTACAATTTTAAGTTGCAGCCGAATTGATAATACATCACTGATAATAATTTAAAAATAATTTAAAATGTGACAGAAACAGGTGTCATCATACACACTAAGCCTTCTTACTTTTCATAGCCTACTTTAGATCGACTAAAATGTTAATTCTCATGTACTTAGGAACTTTAATACAGAAATTGTGGTTCAGTGTATTTTAAGCACTATTTCTGTGCTTTGCTGCATTTATCCCCTTTCACCACTAGAGGTCATAAGAAAGCCAAACATGTGGACAGCCCTGTGATGACTATGCTAAAAATACCTTGTTGGCATCATGTCACCTGTGGAGAGATTGGATGTAACGGACTGCACAAAAAGTACTAATGCAATCAATTTAAACAAGTTCATGAACTCCCCAAGAGGAAATCTGTTTGGAGCAATTATAGTTCAGTAAAAACTGTTTTGACATGCAGTTTGCTTCTTTGCAGATATCATTGTGAAGGTGTCACTTTTGTCTCTGCCTCATTTAATGACATACGTATGTCACAATTTTCCAGAATTTTAAAATCCAAGATATCAATTGATTATTGGAGAAGATAGGAAGCTGATAAATCCACAATGAATAAAACGTTAATTGCAGTCCTGTAGTACAAACTACAATAAGAATAAAATCATCAAATCAAAAGCTCTATTTCAATAAGCGCAAGAGGACCATAATCTTAAAAATATGGAACAGCTGCTTTGAGTAATTCATTCATTAAAAAAATTAAAAATAATAATTAGTAATACTTAAATTTAACTTTTCCTGAACATACCGACATATTACAGCTAAAATAAAAAATGGGAACATTCTCCACCATTGTCTGCAGGAAAGTCAGATATTTGACTGAAGCTATGTCACCTTGCAGTATGAGGTTCTTCCCTAGGTAACAAAAGTGTGACATCACTTTGCTGCAGTAACTTGTATGGCCACAGAGTTACACAGAACGTATCTGTAAATCTGTGCCTTTAAGACCAAAAGAGGCAGGTAGCAAACTCATAATCACAAATAATAAAAGGTTGATCAACTTATAGGTCACATTTTATGTAAAATATAGTTCACCATGTTTTTAGAACACTAATGTGTGTCTCTAGTCTGTCTACAACCCCCCAATAATGAGAAAAGACCATCCTCTCTGTCTTTTGCCTGATCCACATTTTTTAGAAAATGTATACTCAAAAAGGCCGTTTGGATGTTTTTTCGTTGTGACATCACAAAGGGTAGTAACCCCTCCCCCAGGTGGGTGACACTCCTACACCTAGGTGTTTGTTGTCCCTCTGAGTCTGCCTTTTCACCATAAACAACTGGGCATGGTGCAAGAAAGCCTGAGCCCCATCCCCTTCCAGAGAGGGGGCGTGGTCAAACAGCTTACATGCATTTAAAGCTACAGACACAGAAACAGCCTATTCTGAACAGGGCTGGAATAGAGAGGTTTATAGGCATGATGAAATACAGGACCAGAGTGGAATTAAAGCAAGAAACATCACAGACATGCTTTGGGGAACTCTAAGACTGATTTCAAAGGAGTATCATATGTGATCTTAAAACTTGATATTGTCAACAAACCTGATAAATAAAACTTTAAGCACAGCTCTCATGTCAACAACCTCCATTATGTATATTGTTAAACCCTCTCCTCTGTTCAGACCTTAGCTCATCACTGCAGCATAAGGCCTCTCAAAATGCTACTTAAATGTCTTTCCCACTACTGGACAACCAAAATCACGTATGACAAAAAAACAGATAAACATGTGTTTACTCAGCAGTAGAAGGCTGTCTGACTCTGGGTCCATCTTTTCTCCGTTCAGAAGACATGATGTCATCTCTTTCCATCATCCGAGGAGTTTCCAGTTTGGCCGTCATAACAGACGAGTGGGCTGAGCTTTGTTGTGTTCTGGATCATTTCATTCTGTGTGGAGGGAACAATTGCATCATCTGTAGTCTTGTTTCCTTGGACCTGATCCGTAAAGCTCTTTCAGACGCTTCGCTTCCTCTGGACCTAATTCACTCCTGATAAGTAGATTGAAAGACAGGAGAACTTGGCTCACACTGACTTAGGTAACAATAAGCATGACTCATGCACAGACCTCTCCAATCTAGACATCTATATACCTTCATATTGTGACACACGCAGGTGTAATCAAACACCCCTGAAACGCAGACATGCTGAACATGTAATTATGTATTTAAAGAATGTATCTTTCTTATTATCTTCTGAAGTTTACTGGTAATAGATGTCCATATAAAGCTCTTTTAGATTTAACCCAAATGACAAATAAGATACAGTTAAAGGAAGATTTCAATCATTTTAGAAAAGGTGAATGTACAGAAATCATTTGAACATTCAGTGTAAAACCATCAAGAATATAAAACAAGACGGGAAGTTTTTTGATCTTTGAAATTTCATGTTGTTCATGCCGCATATATTTCATTTTTATCTAAAAATATACTAAATAACCTGATTATTAATACACGTTTTCTGACTTTCTTTAGTAAAAACTATTTGTCCAAAAACATTATTTTCAAAAGGGTCAAAACTATATGATCTGCCTAAATGCCCAAACTCAATCTATAAATAC